CAGTCAAGCTAGTCGGCTTTGGCTCTCTGGAGCTGTTACGCCACGGATTTAATTTAAAAAACACTTAAGTGCAGCAGCATTAAAGAAATACTGACAGCCCTATATTAAGAACTAGGATGGAAGTATATTTCACTCATAACAAATTCCATAAGTAACCACATTTATCAACAACATATTCTGTTATATGACTGCAAAGGGAAACTAACGCTATTGCATGCTAAGTTTATACTACATACTTGAGATGAGATGCCTTATTCCAGAACTCTGATCTGTGGTGATGCTCTGACTGTGCAAGATCCCTGTAGCCACCAACAGCTTCCACAAGAGGAGCTATAAAGTTGTCAAGAAATACTCTGAGGCCAAGGCGAACTATCAGCTGAAGGAGGAAGCTGCGATGATATAATTTGACACGTTTGTTGCCTGTATCTGAAGAGGCTAGGTCATTATCATCATTAGTGTCATTGTCATAAAGTTTAACTATAGGCTCTAGCAATGTTGCAGTTGTTTTTTGAGGTCCCAACACTTTTGCCATTGGATCAAATAAATGCCATGCTGCAAGAACAGAAGATGATGGATCCTCCAATAACTCTCTGACATATGGCAGAATAAGATCTAAACTTTCTGGTGAGGCAGAGAGCATTTCTGGGAGAAGGGTTGATAGTTCTCTGGCTGCTGTTTTCACTTTACACTCACTAATCTTTGCAAGGAACAGACCTTTTTTGTTATCTACTTCAATTTTCATGCAAGAGTTGTCATCCTCAGTCACAACAAAAGTTAAACTAAGTTCTCTGGCCATGCTAGAATAGTCATGTAGTGTATGGAGGAGAGAGTAAATTCTGGTAAAATGATGAGGAAAAGGGAAAACAGCTGATGAGAGAAGTGGTTGAAGAAGCTGATGTGCAGATGGTGGAGGCAAGCCCTGAGAAGTTACTGTAGGATAACGGAAAGGCTGAGAGACTCTTTTAAATGGCCGAGGGCTTCTTGATATATCTTCCTCTGATTCAACTATGGGATTCTCTTCATCACAGCATGATGTGGGGTTCAGGTCTACCTGCAGGAGTAGAGAGATGGCCTGTCGCACACAGTGAGGTAGACTTTCTCCAGAATGAGCAAGTACTGAAAGACAGGCACTCAGACGGTGATTGAAAGAAAATGAGCCATTATAGCCAAGAGGTCGAAGTTTTGATGCAAGGAACAATTCAATGACCAAGCAACCCAGGACCTAAAATGGAACAGAAACAAAGAATATTATTAGTATATATAGTACTCAAAAGAAAATGGACTATTACCACAACATAGAAGGAGAGACCTGCAGTAAGTATAAAAAATACCTTTCACTTCGTGTGTTTCATATTTATAATTGGCTTAAGTTTAAAAGCTTAAAAATGTTTCAGGACAAAATCAAACAGATCGACAATTTTGCAGGTAGACTGGATCCTGCTTAAGCTTACCACAATTTAATATGACCAATGTATGATTTGAGGTTTTCACAGTGGTGAGTATGAAGATTTCTGTCTTCTGGGTTGTTGTGCTGTGTGGTCCATGGATGTGATGATACCATAAGTCTATACAGAATTTCTTTATAAAACAAGGAACAAAGGTTTTATTTACGCTGAAGAAATTCTAAAGGAAGACAGTTATGTACCTGCATTTCACGAATCCTACGTCCAGCAACAACCTGCTTGTAGGTGACACTAGCAGCTGATTCTTGCTGCTGGCTCTGATGGACTGGTGACACAGAGTTACAGTGGAAAGTTCTGCTAATGAAACCATGTAATTGCTCAACAGCTTGTAAAGCAGCTGCAGGGTTGTATTCTTTTGGTAGGACAATCACTGGGGCTGCAGCACTAGAGCTACTATTACCAGCAGCAGACTTTTGTTGCTCGCTTTGTCGGTCTCTCACTCCACTTTCATCTGCTGACTGTGATGGAAATGGAGCCTGCATAAAATAGAAATAACATTCCAGTGAATTTTAATATTAATTTCAAGATTAAATTCACAGGCTGCCAAGTTCTACAGAAAAACAAGATACTGTGAAACCCCCCAAAAAATATATTTGGATATTATGGAACCGAACACCAAACTGGAACATTCCTAAATTGAATAAAATGTGAGAAACATAACTTTACAAGCATAATGAAAATTTATATTCTAAATAAAATAAAGCTTTCCCACATACATTCAAACACACAGAGACTTCAATTATACCTATGCATTCTCAACCTATGTCCTGAGAGACCGATTCTTGGGTTATTTAATGTTTATGTTTCAGCAGCAGAGTTTAAACAAAATTAGAAAGGTGTACTCTTTGGAGTACAGCACAATTCCAAAGATATTCTTTGTGTCACATCATAGGTGATAACATCAGGTACTTCCAAATACATGTCTAGAGCATTACAACTATACTAACCTGCTCAGTCTACACTTTATACTTTAGTTTCGTCTTCTTGAAATCCTCATACTAACAAAAAAATAGCACTAACCAGCAGAGATCCACGGGACCGACTGAGAAGACGAGTAAGTGCTAGTGGTGAAGATCTTGGCTGCCCCTGCAATGCTGCTGATTCCTCATCCTCGAAGCCTGAACTCTGACCCTCATCTTCACTGACACGTTCGGATGGTTCTGTAAGCATTAAAATGTCTTTCAAAATATAAAGACTATCGAATATATTTGAAAGATCTAACAAAAGATATTTCCATTTGTTTATATTATCTATTCAGTCTACAACTAGGTCTACATAATAAGCTATGTCATATTTTATGTTTTCACAGCAATCAAAATGTGGACTGCTTTCTTCCAGTTGATGTCTTCTAGGTAATTACCATTGCCCCATCCTTACTTCTACTATGAACACTAACATATTATGAGATCTGGGGTTTTCATGGCAGTGAAGACATCATTATTGGTCTTCGGAATTATAACACTACATGGTAATGTAGGCAGATACCAACAATTTAGAGGAAGAAACTGCCTCCATCTTTGGGGCTGAACGCGGACCTGTAGGCAGATACCAACAATTTGGAGGAAAAAACTGCCTCCATCTTTGGGGCTGAACGTTGGTGTCAACCTAAAAATCTTCATACCATTACTACAGAAGTCCAACATCAATACTGAGACAATATGCTCCTCAAAATTACTGGTAAGCTACAAGACTATATAGCAACATAACCCAGACCATAACTATAAACAAACTAGAGATTTAAACAACATAATACATTCAGTTGTTCTCAGACCTTAATCTGAATATTAGAAATAATGTCTTATTCACTACAACATAAAGAATTTAGCACATAATAAGACAATGTTGTATAGATCTCACTCTTTCTATCTCGTGGAGGAGGGTGGAGTTTTGGGGGAGTCTTTCCCCAGAAAGGTGATGGCATGTGTCTCTGGGGATGTGGCTGAGTAAAAAGCTGAACCACTCCTGTATTTGTCAGTGTTGTATGACTGTCTACCAACTGTAGACAAACATTCTTGGATTTCACTGCAGCACTCCCAGACAACCTGTAATTATGTAAAAAACATTGTGTTTTGAATCAACCAGCCTCAGAAAAGCATGAAACATCAAGACACATAGTATGATAAGGGGGAACCATGACTCACAAGGGGCCAATGATTTTAACCAGACAACTGCAAAATTCTGAACACCACATACAAATCAATAATCGCTGCCCTAATAACAATAAAATCCTTACACTGTATCAGTGTATGCATACTTTACTGCCTCTTGTTCTGCCGATAAAACACAGACATCATACA